CTGCTGGGTGGTTGCAGCAGGTTTTGGTCACTTCACATGACCCTGGGACACTGTGACCGTCATAAATATGAATCAATTGCCAAGCATCTGAATGTAAATCACAAGACCCTGGAGATGCTGTAACATTCCAGCTGATCGGCGCTTCTTCAAGGCTCAGCATTAGCACCAGGATCAGTGCTGAGCTCCAGCTGGAGCCTGGCGCTGATCCTGGCGCTTCCGCTGAGCCCTGCAGCCCCAAAGAAGCATCGATCAGCTGGAAAGCGGCACTGATCCTGGCGCTTCCACTGAGCCCTGACAGCCCTGCAGCTCCAGCTGTCTCTTGCTCAGGCTTGTGCGGTGCTGCCACAGGTTCAGCTCATTCCCCTCCCCCACTACCACTTTTCTAGGATTGTCGCGTATCACCTGCCAGGTGCCAATGTACCACGGGTGGTACCCGTACCACTGGTTGAAAAGCCCTGGTCTAACCAAAGAAAGACTGGGTATAACATGATAGCAGTCTTCTAAAATTTAAGGGGCTGTCATGGAGACGAGGGAGTCAATCTATTCTCCAAAGTACTTGAAGGCAGGACAAGAAGCCAATGGAAACTAATCAAGGAGAGAGGCAACCTAGAACTAAGGAGAAATTTCCTGACAGTGGGAACAATTAATCAGTGGAACAGCTTCCCTCCAGAAGTTGTGGGTGCTCCAACACTGGACGTTTTTAAGAAGAGACTAGATAGCCGTTTGTCCAGAATGGTATAGGGTCTCCTGCTTGGGCAGGGGGTTGAACTAGAAGACTTGCAAGGTCCCCTTTCAACCCAGTTATTGTTTATTCTATGTTTTGCAAAGTCAGCCATTAACTTCCTGGCCAGGATTTGAAGGGTTTGTTTCCCCAGCTGCCCTGACCAGTGATGAACTTCTGCCATGTTCTATCCTGTATTCATGTTGTCTGTAAAACTGGTCAATTGCATCAACCTGTAGAAATGGGTGGGACAGGAACCACTAAGCTGCTTATCTCACTGGAGAGCCTTGAGCAGAGAGATATGAGAGACAAATGTGGTGTGGAGCCTCTGCCAAGGACATTGGCAGGCCAGCTGGTGACCTCTCTCCATTCTGGAATGTGGGGACAGTGTAACCAGTCAGGGATAACCATCAAGAGTGGCATGTTGGGGTGTGTTCTTCAAGAGCTGAAGAAAATAATGAAGCATCAATCTGGAATAGGGGGAATATGTCACATCCTGGACATAAATCTGTTTCAACGTTTCCCCTCAGGATGCTGCTATAGGACATTGCAGGCCAAGACAACTAGACACAGAGAGTTTTTTCTCTTGTGCCATCACTCTGCTAAACATCTAATTCTGACAGTGCTGTCTAATGTCTATACGTATTTATCCATGTAGTATTATTATTTACTCTTATTATCTTTACTGCTACCCTCATAGCAGCATTTCTCAGTCCCTCTCCATGTGGGCAGGGGGAATGAGGAGACCCAGCAATGCTGAGGGTGAGAGAAGGACAGAAGCCCCCAGCTGACAGCCTAATTCCAAGGGAGTCTCTGCAGGGGCACAAAAGCATTTCTGGATGTCGCCAATAGGATGCAGGGGGAGGGGGGAGATTTCAGCATTTTTCTCCAGCCTATCCAGCCTTTCCTATCTGAAATCTGGTAGGAATTGAATCTAAAAAGAAGCTAAAGATAAAATGTCAGATTTAAGGGACCCATCCAGGCAGTTTTCCTGTCCCCCGTTTCTTCCAGCTTTGCAGTCTAGCGAGCAGAGCTGGAATCCTTGCTGGACCCCTATCCATGCCTGATTGATCAGGCCACATCTTGTGCAAAAATGATGGTTTTGGAATGAGGAAAAGTTTACTTTTATTCAGGAAAATGTATGTAATAAAGGAGAGCAGGGTTTGTTAAAAGATTCTTGAGCACTTTTAACCGCAATGTAAATAATGAGAACTGCTAAGGCAGATATTGGACTAGAACAGTGGTTCTCAACCTGTGGGTCGGGACCCCATTTGGGGTCAAATGACCATTTCACGGGGGTCGCCAAACAAGGCTGTCCGCCATTTTTCCCCCTTTTCTTTGGCCATGCCCCTGGCACCCAGTGATGTATAAGTGGTTGGGGGTCACCACAACATGGGGAACTGTATTATGGGGTCGCGGCATTAGAAAGGTTGAGAACCACTGGACTAGAAAATGTTGGGAACATTTTACATGGATTTTGTCAATATTCCCACTTAACTGGGGCCCTGCCTATAATGTAAGTCTGTCATCTGCCTTACAGAACCAGGAAATGGAGATGAGTTGGTGTGTTTTGCTTAGGATAAAGAGCACTTGGTCTTTTGAATCTCCTTCAGTAGCCAATGTAATCCTTATCCAAGTCCAACACTTTTTGCCAGTCCTTCACCTACATGGGCTGGCTTGATTGGAAATCTTGAATTAACTTTTCTGTTGATCTTCTACAGGGGGGTATCACTTTTGTTTTTAAAGAAAAAGCATTGAAACAAAAAAAAACATGACTACCTTATGGAGCATGAAAGCACAGAAAAAGAAACAGACTGGTAGCATAAATGTGGAATTTTGCCTGAAGAATGTGTGCTCCATATGAGGGGAAGTAGTCTGCAAAATGCATTGGATAGTTCAATAGTGCTTTGTAGGCAAATCGCCCACAAAGAAGTTTGATTTGTACAGACCTGTATAAAAAATGTCCATATCAAATTTTAGAGCGCCCTCTAGTGGCACCATTTTCAAGAATTTCCTGTTCTTGAAAAGCTGGGCCTATGATTCTTTTCTCAACATTAAACGTACCAATTTTCCTTAGTTTTTCCCTTACAGAATTTTTGCTGGCTTTTTTCCTATTTTCTAAACTAACAAATCTCTGTATCTTTTCTCTGAATCTGAAGCATAATCGTATTTAAATACTGCATCCTTGGAATACTGCATCCAGTTTTGGTCACCACGATGTAAAAAAGATGTTGAGACTCTAGAAAGAGTACAGAGAAGAGCAACAAAGATGATTAGGGGACTGGAGGCTAAAACATATAAGGAACGGTTGCTAGAATTGGGTATGTCTAGTTTAACGAAGAGGACAAGGGGGGACATGATAGCAGTATTCCAATATCTCAGGGGCTGCCATAAAGAAGAGGGAATTAAGCTATTTTCAAAAGCGCCTGAAGGCAGGACAAGAAGCAACGGGTGGAAACTAATCAAGGAGAGAAGCAACCTAGAACTAAGGAGAAACTTCCTGACAGTGAGAACAATTAATCAGTGGAACAGCCTGACTCCAGAAGCAGTAAATGTTCCAACACTGGAAGTTTTCAAGAAGAGACTGGACAGCTATTTGTCCAAAATGGTGTAGGGTTTCCTGCCTGAGCAGGGGGTTGGACTAGATGACCTCCAAGGTCCCTCCCAACTTTACTATTACTATTATTAGATTTTGTCTTATTTGGAAACTTTTGGATGAACCCTAAAGTTGCATCTGCCTTTTTTGCAGCCCATCATGTTGTTGGTTCATTCTGTCCACAGACAACTACTACACATTTTTTTTCCGTGCAATTACTAAATCTGGTATGTCCCATCCTACTGCAATGTATTTGGTTTCTATTTCATTTTGCATCTATTTTCCAAGCCATGGTTACTTGGAGCTCTGTTCTCCAGCCTATAAAGACCATTCTAACTGTTTCTTTGCTTCTTGTCTCTTAGCTATTCCTCATTCACTCCATTTGCAAATTGGTTAAGTATCCTGCCACCTCTAATCTGAATCATTACAAATATTGAAGAACAAAAGGCTCAAGGCTGATTCTGGTGCATCTATTTGAGACCCAAGTCCAGTTTGATGACGAACCTCTGATAGATCCAATTGGAACTGCAGGGACGCTCTAAGTCCCCTGGTGGGAGGACAAGCAACACACATCCCCACCCAAGGCCCCTCTCCTTTGATCTCCAGGCCTGCAATTTTTACTGGCCATTTTGGAAGGCGATGAAATGTGAGCTCAGAAACTGGAAAAGAAACAAAATTACTTCCAACTGGGGAAGAAAGTCCTTATGCAGGATAGAGGCCCACCCACCATGCCCCTGGCACCTCTCCAAAGTTTTTGTGGCCCCCTTCAATTACAAATTGCCTTTTCTAATCAATGAAAACTATAGAGCCTGTTTGGTCTAGCGCTTAAGGTGCTGGCCTAGAAACCAGGAGCTGTGAATTCTGCTCCCGCCTGAAAGTCAATCACCAGGAGACGGTGAGTTCTAGTCCTGCCTCAGGTATGAAAGCTGGCTTGATGACTTTGGGCCAATCACTCTCTCTCAGCCCAACCCACTTCACAGGCTTGTGGTTGTGAGGAAAGTAGGAAAAGGAACAAAATATTAGGTATGTTCACTATCTAAGATGGGATAAAAAACCAAATGGTCATGTAATGCACAATTCACTTTCCTGAGGTTTACTATCTGGGCTGCAACTCTAGCCAAGCTCAGGTGAAGGTGTGGCTATATCCCCAAATATAGCTCCAAGCCCCCACTTGAGACTGGATGTTGGGGTCACTCTCACCAGTCCCACCCAGATGGTGAGCATTCACTGCACAGCTGCCGCCCCCGCCCTGCCTGGAGAACAGGAGGAGCTGGGGCAATTTGCTCGCCTCCTGATGATCTGCAAGGGAGTTGGTGGGAGCAGCTGAAGAACCAGGTGCCTTCCGTGTCCTGCCACATAATAGGGAGCGTTGGGGGGGATGGGATCACGTGGCTGAGTGGAATCGTGATATGTTCAGATTCTCTGAAGAGGCTTCTGTCTGCAAATTTCCCTCTGGCGTTTGGGTAACCCAAGGCTGCCCCTCCAGCAGAGATGCTGCTCAACAGCTTCCTGGAGCAGACACAGCAAAAGCTGGTGGAGAAGGTGCGTGCCAGGCACCTGCCCCCCCTTCTGGAAAAATCCCTCCAGTGTTACACCCAGCGGCTGCATGATGCCCCCTCCAGTAGGGGGCTGGTTGGGAAGTCCCGGCTAAGAAAGAAGAGGCCCGAGGAAGCCAGCAGCAGCTGCCTTGGTCTAAACTTTATTGGCACTGATGCAAAGAGAGAGGGGGGATCGAGTCAAACACCTCGGACAGCAGCAAGTGTGGTGGGGGGAGGAGATCTCTGCTTCCCCCCACAGGCCGCCTTGCAGGCCCTCCCCTGAAAAGGCTGGTGTGTTGACATTACATGTAAAAAGGATAGTCAAAAAAGAAGACATAATTTACAGCAAAAATTCCATAACACAAATACAAAGCCAGACAAAAGAAAAGATGATTAATGAGGCAAACTCCCTCCCCCAGAAGGATAGCACATATCCAGGTGTAGCAGTAAACAAATGGGGGAGCAGAGAGGGAGAAAAAAAAACTCCATGTTTTCTAACCCAATAATTAAAAAAAAATCTAAAAATCTCATTGTAATACTGAATGTATCTTACATTAATTTCTGCAAAATATCATCTCTTTACAACACAGTATACCTTTTCTATGAAGAAGGGAGAACAAAGTTACTTCCCCTCAACACTTCTGAGATTAATATTTTCTAATCATGCATAGCTAGAAAAGGGCATGAAATCAATACCATTGTCACTGGAGCACGTAATACTGGTTAAGATCAGGGAAGAGCTGAACCAACTTCCGAGGAGGCAAACTCACGGCCCCCGGCGGGCCACTGCCTACCCCGGAAGCACCCAGCATTGGCAGCCCCACAGCGCCTGGGTCCTGGGAGAAACCATCTGGAAGGCATTTTCGCAGGGCCAAAGGAAGGAAATCCAAGTAGGCCTCTGGCAAGCTTAGGCCGAGTTTACAGGAAGGCCCAGAAGCAGAGTCAGCACCACACATTTTCATGGTGAATCAGAGAAACTCTTTGGAAATCATCCCAATGAGTAATTTTTAGGAAATGGTTCAAAGCCATGGCATGGTGTATTTCAGGGGGAGTTAGGGGAGAAGACGATGATTGTCCACATCCTCTCATCCGTCCCTTCCCAAAGGCATGTAGAATCGGAAGAAGGAAGGGGAGGAAGAGGAAGGGAGGAGAAGGGCAATCTGCAGGGTCTTTTTCTGGAAAAGTTTGGCTGCTTACACTGTGACGCCTCTGGCTGCAAGGTGCAGGTCTCCGGGCACAGCCTCAAGGCCCTGGGCCCGAGGTGGTGCTCTGGGACAGTTGTGCAGCAACTCCTTCTCACCACCCTTAGTGGAGTTGAGTTTGGCCAACCTTACACCCAGTACAATTTGCTTTTAGAGCTGTGGTGCTGTTTCAGAATAATACTTTTGGGATAAATGCAAGCTGGGGTTGGTGTGTGTACATTTGTGTGTGTGTGGAAGGCAGAAAAAGGCCAAATGTGTAGCAAACGTCTTGAAGGGTGCTAAGCAAAGGGGGCCAGGACAGGCACCCCGGGGAAACTCAAAAAGGGGGCCCCTTTTAAAGGTTACTGGAAAACCGCCAAGCAACCCAACCACTGAGAGAGACCTGTAAGTCCAACCACCCGTTTTTATCTAGAGCCAAAGACCTGGAGGCCCTCTGAGGGACAGGATCTGGAAATGAGGAGCAGAAAGGGCACCCTGTGAAAACAAAACCTAACCTTCCTAACAGTAGAACGGCCGGCAACATGGAGATTAACACACAAAATACATCTTTGTGGAAAGTATTTTTGGTTTTGCATTACTGGAACTAAGAAGACTTTTGTAAAATGTTACACAACTAGAGTGTCATTAAGGCACCATCATGCATGTCCGTGGGCACACACACACATGGGAGGCATGACCTAAAAGGCTAAGTGGTGCAGTTTGCAGCCATGTCTCACCCTTTGAGATTTCCAGCTGACTCACAACCTCTCTGAAATGTTTTGACAAGGTTGGCAAAAGGAATGGCAACTGCTCCATGGTCAACCTTTTTTCCTTTTGGGAAGACAACAGTTCTGTAGCAAGTCTACTCAGAAGATGGGAAGAAGGGAAGGAGCATCCAATTTTGTCCAACAGTCTCAGTAAGGAGCACTTGGAGAAATTTAAGGAGACCAGAGGGATTGGCTTGGTCTGCTCAGCGTTTTGCTCTTTGGCACCAAGAAGGGAGAAGGCAGGCTGGCCATCGCCCTTCGGTGCTTCCTTCCCTTCTCCACAATCTCCTCTTCCCAAGTAAAGCAAGCGAAAACCACCACAGGGACTTCAATTAGGTCAGAGCAAGGCCGTGCCCCTCCAGACCCCAGCAAGGGAGGTTAGGAGGGGGAGGTGGTCCGTGGTTAGATATCGGCTCCCCGGCAGCTCAGCGGTGCCGGCAGCAACTGCACTAATATATTTCTTATAAGCAATAAAAAGCATTATGATACTTAAGCTCATCACCCCTACTAAACAGAGGCAGGCCCCTGGAAAACTGCAATAATAAGGCACAACTGACTTTTGCTTTTTCTTCCTGTTTGGTCCTATTTTGAACATCAGCCCAGGAGGCTGTTCTATTCACTCTCCTGTAGTGGATGGTTCCGGCATCGCACATTTGCATGGGGGAGGGGAGGATGGAGGGGGAGGTACAGCAGAGGCTGGAATGACTACATGGACTCAAATTCATCAATCCGCTGCTTGGTGTTGCCCTGACGGATCTGGCGGAGTGTCTTGTACTTGTCACGGCCCTGCCGCATGTTCTCGGCATGAATCATGTCATTCGCTGTCTTCTTGGTTTCATCACGTGCATTGGCCAACTCAGAGGTGAGAGCCTGTAGGGCAAGAAGGGAGAAGGAGGAAACATCAGCCACCCAAGACACCCGTGGCATCCGAGATCTTTCTTTCTGGCCTGGGACTGGTTCTTTTTACCTTTGGGCATAAGGCTTTGTTTTGTTGACACTTTCCCTGCATCTCCCTGCAGTGCAGGATTAAGAGTTGTTTTCTGCTCTCAGAAACATGGCTGGCTGCAAGGGGATAGGTAGCTTGGATGTCACAAGGGACACGGCATCCCCCCTCCCTGTTTGCTAGAGCAGAGCAGTCGGGAGAATTAATTCAGGCAATAGAGCACACTTGGTACTACTCCTCAAGTGGGCAAAGCACTACCCAAGACCTCCTTCTATATGGGAACCTTCGGTTTCCATCACCCAAGACAGAAATGGGCATGTTGGTGTGAAAAATGAGTGTAACACCCACAGATCTCAGGCTGAAGGTGCCTGGAGGTCAGAGCAGGGATCCCACAAGGTTGCCTGCCACCCAAACAGCTGCCCAGATTTCTTCCTCCTCCCCATAAGATCAGGGATAATGGGAGGATTCCCTACGAGTGAGAACCTTGACCCAGGACCACAGGTGGAGGCTGCTCTCCGAAAGTGGGCTGGGCAGCAGGTGACTGGGCCGGTCTTACTGCCTAGAGTGGGTGGGGCAATTCTGGCTGCTTCTTATGCTGTCCCAAGGCCATGTTAGTGAAATTCAGCAGCCATAGAATGACAATAGCCTTAGGTTTATATAGGTTTCACAGTGCCTTATAGCACTCTCTGAGCAGTTTACAGTTTACAGAGTCAGCCTATGGCCCCCAATAATCTGGGTCCTCATTTTACCAACCTTGATCAAGGCCTACCCTGAAAGTAAGCCCTAGCTTGAATTTTGGGGGTGGGCCTAATTATAAGCCCTACCCCGAAAGAGTCTGCGCAGCCGGCCGGTTGCCGATTCCATTTGGTTGCTAGGTGAAGGGGGGGGGAAGCAAGCTGGTGGGGGAGGGGGGATCTGTGGTACCCTGCCACAGCTTCTCACGCCACAACACTGGTTCTATGGCCAGTTTTGGCCATTCGTGGCACAACGTGCCCACCAATGCTGCTGCCATGAGGCTTGGCAGATCCCCCCCTTTGACCTGCTTTCCAGTTCCGATGCATTTCTCTGTTGCCACGAAGCTGGAGAGCTTGCCCCACCACTGCCCAGATGCCCTTGCTTCCCCCAAGCATTTTTTGCTTACTTGATTTCCAGCTCCATTTCCTCCACCAGTGTGCAGTCCCACAAACAAAAGAAGTTTGTGAGACTATGAAAAAAAGGTCAATCAATGAATTCCAACTTCTCGCAAAAAAAAAAAAAAAAGATCTCATGAAGTTGGAAATGATGATTGAATTCTCTTTTTTTGGCCCACAACCTTCTTTTGTTTGTGGGACTGCACATGGCGGAGGAGGAATGCGATAGAGGAACACGACGGAGGTGGAAATTAGGTAAGCAAAGAAATGCTTGAGGGAAATGAGGGCATCTGGGAGGTGGTGGGGCAAGCTCTCCAGCTCTGTGGCCACAGAAAAATGCGACAGAGCTGGAAAGCAGGGACCAAGGCAAACTCCCTAAGGGCGCCCAGCACTGAAATGGGTCCGTTGTCTGTAGCAGCTTCCCAGGCCTGCCGGAAGGAAGGCCAGCCTCTACCTGCACTTACTGTAAACACGGCGGGATTCCGGCTCTGGTGGGGACGGGACAGCCAGCGTGGGCACTGACAGCAGGATGCCTGCTCCCTCCCCGACCTCCGGCGCTCCACCTGCCACTTTGGCCCTGGGCTGCCACCTCCTCAGTCATCTCTGGACGGGCCAGGACAGGCCAGTAAGACGGCCCCACAGCATCCCTAGGTCAAAACCCCCCCCCTCCACCTGGAGAAGCTTCAGACTGGCCGCCGCCTCAGCACCCTTCCCACCGCCGCCTAGCATGGTCACCCCGGGGCTGCAGGGGCTGGCCTGGCAAGGGAAGGGCACACATGCCCCCTCTCCCATACAGTACCTTTACCATACCGTAGTTGGTCTACAACCATGCCCCAAGGTTGGCCCATCGCCGCCGCGCTCTGTCTCCATCCTATGCACAGACCCCGCCCTGCCCCTGCATATTCGCTGCCTGCTGGTAATGTAAGACCTACCCTGAAAATAAGCCCTAGTACTCATTTCAGAGGCCCAAAGAAAATAAGACCAGATCTTATTTTCAGGGAAACACAGTAGTCCATCAGCTTCTCTGAGCTGAGTGAGGCCCACCTCACCTTCAAGTGCTTCTGAACCCGCACATTCTTCTCTGCCTCAGTGGTGCGCTGTTCCTCACTGCGGTCCTTGATCGAGGCGTGCGCCCGCAACTCCGCACTGGCCTCCGCGGCATTCTCATCCTGCTCATCATCGTGCTCATTCTCTGACTGCATGGGCTCTGGCACGTGCGGAGTGCTGGTGACTGACTTCAGCTCTTCTTTGGTCCTCTCCAAGTCCTCTTGAACCAACTGGGCCTGAAAGAGGGAGCGCAGCTGAAAACACCCTGAGAAACCTGCTTATGTCAAGAGAGCAGAAACTGGATCTGTGAGGAGATCCAGCCTTTTGACTGAAGCAGCAGGAGAGAAACACCTCTATGACGACAGAAATGTGACTTTTGTAGGAACTAAGATCAAAAGCAGCCCAAGGAGGAGTCTGGATGCAAAGGGCAGCAAAAATGTATTGGCTTCACATCTCCAGATATATTTTGGGCTTGCTTGGCAAGAAAATTTCAGAACAAGTTAAGACACACAAATAGAACTCTGTGCATAAAAGTCACTTTGGATGCCTTTACTAAACAAAGACAATCAATGGGGAAAAAATGGGGCCTCCATGAAGATATTTGGAATTCTGTGATCAGTCAAAATATCAAGGAATCCCAACTGCCCATTTAATACCCTTTCTAATGTCCCCATGGAAAAGGCTTAGGCATCTATAACAACGTGGACTGAGATCAGATGTTTTTCATTATTTACATTCTCATTCACCAAGAGCCAAATTTCTCTGCCTGATTTCAGGTTATTACAAATTCTAAAAAAAATGGCTAAGTGTAGAAATTACTAAGGATTTTTAAATTAAATTAATTTGGAACACAATATTCCTGGCAATTAGAAATAAAACAACACTGCCAGGTAAAAAGAGATATGTTGTGTTTGTCATCATCACAGGCTGCTAAGATTGGGAGGGCCCACGGGGGTCCTAGCTTCCTCCTCCCCCAGAGCAGGAATCCAAATTCCAGCATCCCAGAATGACTTGAAGATGCCTGGTGAATGAGCCCCCACTGCCTCTCCAATCAGCCTTCTGCTGGCCCGTCTGCTGGGAGTTTTTCATGCATTTTGCCTTCTGGATGATGACAGGATTTTTTTAGGTTATTTTCCAGTGTCCAAAATAGGGAAGCCAAAATGTTTGTACAAATTGTATACAGCCACTTTTATTTTGCTTTAAGAGGCAATTTCTGACTATTCTATGTGGATAAACGAGTTAAGTTCCCTGAGGCCCACAGGCCTCCATGGGCCTTTGAAACTTGCAGAGAGTCCTTGTGCTCCTCGCCCCAGAAGGACGAGTGAGTCTCCTGCAAAATGAGCCAAAGCAGCATGCATGGAGGAGAAAGAGCAGAGCTTGGAGAAGAAGGAGTCATGTCTGTACGTATTTCTGTGCACAAACTGCCAGCAACGGCATAGATTGGCTGGACACTTGGGCTTGGGCTTTCCCACTTCTTTGGAACAAAAACAGGCATTCTTTGAAAGTTATTCCAGTTCCCCAGCCCCCTCTCTTCACCAATCCCAGCAGGCATCTGGGCGGGCAAAGTGGGCGGAGGGGAGGAGAGCAATGGGCACTCACTTTCTGCTGCCACAGCATCGCCTCGCTCTCTTTCTTCTGTTGCGCAATTTCCAGCTGTGAGATCCGGGTGGTGAGCTCCAACATCTCGGTGGTCTGCAAGGTGAACACAGCATCCCCAGTCAAAAGTCTGTAGCTGAGAAAGATGGCAGGAGGAGCTCGGCAGCCTCAGGGCCAAGGCCACCGACTCCAGCCTCCGAGGTCACCAGCTGTGTCTGGAAGGACCCCAAGTCCTTTGGGGTGGCTTCTCGACTATCAGTAGTTCCAGGCAGTGATTCTGGGCCTTGTCAGAGCCCTCCCTATTTGCAGACATGGAGAGCCTGACCTTCCACGAATCTGTCCACTCCCATTTTAATATCATCCAGATTAGCTGCTAAATCACAGCTGCTGGCAGTGAGCTGTGAAAAAAAAGACGATTTCCTTCATTTCCTTTCCCTGCTCTTACTTCCAAAGCTCCTTCTGTGTTTGCTCAGCTGCAAAGATCTAACCCCCCAACAGACCTGCCTTATAAGTCTACAAGAGGGCAAAGTGGAGAGGAAGGGCAGGAGTGGGAGAGACAGAGGGAAGGGGAATCTTAGCATGGCACTGTCCAAATACGTGGGGGTGGGAACTGGTTGGATTTGGGGAGTTCCCTTCCCCATGTTTCTGGAGGGGGCAGGCTGAAAAAGTCTGTTGTCGCTTTAGTCCCTCTTACAAAACAAGGCTTCTGAAGCCTCCCTGAGAAAAGTGATCCTGGAAAGGTTCACAATCTGCACTATTCTCTGAGGTTGGAGTTCTGCTTTGCCTGTGAAGAGAAGAAACACACTTCATTTCTTAATAGTGTTAATAATATTTAATAGTGTGGTTTCACTCCCAAGGAAAGAGCACGTCTATCTGCAAGAGCAGTGTGCCATGGGCCAAAGGCAGCCTGGACAAGAGTCTCACCCCAGAGCCTTGAGAGGAAGGGGCCTGACAATCATTTGACAAAGTAGACTACGACCACCTTCTTGGTAAGGTAGAAAAATGTGGGATAGACAGCATTGCCATCAGATGGATTTGTAACTGACCTGCCAACCACAATCAACGTGTAGTCCTCAATGGAGCTACATTGACAGGGAGGGGTACCCCAAGGTTCCATCTTAGGCCCAGGACTCTTCAATATCTTCATAAATGATTTAGATGAGGGCATAGAAGAGGAATTCATCACATTTGCAGATGACACTAAGCTAGGTAGAACAGCCAACACTTTAGAAGTTAGGCTGAAGATCCAGAAGGATCTTAACAGACTTGAACACTGACCCCTATCTAACAAAATAAAATTCAACGGTTAGAAAAGTAAGGTTTTACACTTAGGCAAGAAAAAACAAATGCACATATAGAACAGGTAGTAGCTGGCTCAACAGCAGTAAGTGTGAGAGGGATTTGGGACTTCTGGTGGACAATCACTTAAGTATGAGCCTGCAGTGTGCTACAGCTGACAAAAAAAGCCAATGCAGTCCTGAGCTGCATCAACAAAAGGATAGCATCAAGATCACACGTCTTATTATCGCTTTATACCACACTGGTGAGACCACTCTTCGAATACTGAATCCAGGTTTGGCCTCCACAATACAAAAAAGAAATTGAGACTCTAGAAACAATCCAGAAAAGGACAACAAAGATGATTAGGGGATTGGAGGATAAAATATACGATGAATGCTTGTCGGAACTGGGAATGTTTAACAAAGAGAAGAATTAAGACGTGAAAGAAGTCTTCCAATATTTAAGACTCTGTCACAGAGAAGAGAGATCAACCTATTCTCCAAAGCATCTGAGGGCAGGACAAGAAGTAAGAGTGGAAGATTATTAAGAGATCAAACTTAGAATTAAGGAGAAATTTCCTATCAATGGGAACAATTAATCAGTAGAACGGCTTGCCTCCAGAAATTGGGGGTGCTCCATCGCTGGAGATTTTCAAAAAGAGATGAGACAACCATTTATTCAGAATCATACAGAGTCTCCTGCCTGAGCAGAGGGCTTATCTAGAAAACCTCCAAGGTCCCTTCTAACTCTGTTATTCTGTTATTGTTTTTCTGTTAATCAGCTGCAGCCCTTGACAGGAGATGGAGTCCAACTCAGGAAGCCTGAGCTGATCCAATAGGAAAAGGGGGCCTTCTGCATTTTTTGTGACTCACAGCAGGGAGCTGCTTTGGGGGGAGGGTGTCTTTGCATGCCCCACACCAGGAAGTACAACTTCTCTTGGGCATCTCTGGAAGGCATGTCGGGGGCTACCCTTTGAAAGTTGGTTGGGGGCTTGGATGAAACCGCACTTAAAATTAAATTCAGTGAAATAAATTAGTGGCAATATCATTAATGTATGATAAAATGGACAGGAGGAATCATTTTCCCTTTGCCTGATGCTGAGAGTTCTACTACAATGGCAACTTTTTGAGAGGTGTTGGGGATGCTTTCCAGACTTTCAAGGATGTTGCACACCTCTGCTCTAGTCCATTAGGCTGTCCTCCTCCCTGTCCTGTGAAGCACAGAAGCGCCTCCCATTCGGCCACCTTGGCTGCAGAGCTGACCTTCCCATTATCCACCACCAAATGCAGGCCCCTCTACCAATGAGGCTTCTCTGCCCTTTGGGCAGCTTGGAAGCACTGCCAGATGCCTGGGGCTGCCCAAGACAGCGGCTGAGCTTTCCCCAGGCAACCTACCAGCTGTTCCTGGGTCTCCCTCTGATCATTGGAGGCTTTCAACAAAGCTTCCTTGGCTTCCTCGGCGTCCTGCCGCTCCCTGGCCAGCTTCTCAGCCTCCTCCTGAGCTCGCTTCCTTTCCTGCTCCAGCTCCAGCGCCCTGCGCGTTTGCTCCTCCAGCTCTGGGGAAAGAGGCCGAGAGCGTCAGCCCTTCTCCCCGCTGTTTGAGAAGACAGCCCTCCTCTCCTGGGGCCCATCCTGGGGCAAGCCCTCCTTCCCACCTTGCTGAGCTTTCTTAGTTTGTTCCTCAATTTGTCGGAGCTTCTCCATCAGCTCTTCTTTCTCACGTTCAATCTTTTCCTTTTCCTTCTCGGCCATCTCCCTTTTCTTCTTCTCGTTCTCCAGCAAAGCCCTGAGAGGAAAGAAAACATACAGCAATTTCAATGCCTCTTTTATATATATATATATATATATATATATATATATATATATATATATATATATATATATATATATAAAATGGCTTGCTAAGCCTTAGAGAAGTCTTTAGAGCTTTCAATGTGCAATTTCTACCTAATTTAATCCAGCTGCAAATTAAAATATGGCTTGGAAAACTGATCTCTCCTTGGGATTGTACACTTTCAATTCAAAATCTACCATGTTTCTCTGGGTTGCCTCAACAGGTTTTCCACATTTTTAAAAAACTGAAGGAACCTGCTTAGAGGTCCAGGAGAACCCCTCCAGGCAATGGAATGGCATCAGGGATTCTCCTGCCTTTGTTGAGTCCCTTTAAACAGTGGTCCCCAACCTCGGGGCCACAGCCCATTACTGGTCTGTGGCCTGTTGGCAATCGGGCCACCAAAGCAGTGGGTGAACGTGCCAAGCTTCATTTCCACATGCGCAGGATTTAGGTTGCCTGTGTGAAACCATTCCCCACCCCCCCCACTGCCAAAACCACTGAAACTGCTGCTGCCGCAGGTCCACAAAACCAAAAAGGTTGGGGATCCCTGCCTTTAAGCTTCATTGGGAGCTCCCAAGAGTCCCTCAATCTTCTGTGAGATCCTGCCATTTCCAGGGTATCCTGTGGGAAGGAAGGCAGCCCACCTTGCCTTGGTCACAGCAGCCTTAGACTTCAAGGGAGGGGAAGAGCAAAGAGCAACTTTATTGCTTGACATCCCTAAGATGCCACAATGTGCTTTTATGCAGAATTATTCCACTATACAACAGAGTGCAGGCTGCCTTTACGCCAAGATTTTGTTCAAATACACCTCAAAGAGCCTTTGACTTGGCTTCCGGTTCTGGATCACGGTGCTGGCGGATGGAAGAGGGAGCGCTCTCTCCGCCACTGGGTTTCCCTTCATTGGGCGACCCTGAAAAGGGTCATAAGTCGCCCTGGAGGGGCGATGACTGTGAGGAGGACCCTCGACAGATCGCGGAAGGGCAGCAGCCCTTCCATTTGATCCAATGCAGCTCCTTTGGACCGTCGGAGAAAAGATCGACCATTAATATGGCTGATCACTAAGCTGTGCCAGCCGAAAGCCAAAATCACCACCAAGCACAATGAAAGCACCGCGGAGGGATTGGGTGAGACCTTACCTTAACTTTCTTGTATCCCAACTACCTTCCTGTAAAAGGCTCCTGAAATTTCTTCCCCACTTTTAACATAGCGGTGTCTGCCTACCCTGGGAAACTAAAGCTTTGAAAAAAGAAAAGAAAAGAACAACTAATCTAAACAACTAAATAACTGGACTTGTACTTTTTGGATATTTGGGGTCCCAAAAAGTGCCTATTGTTACAGGGATATATTACCTTATTTATTTGTTAAGTTGGGGAAAAAAAGAAAAAAAATAATTGGATAAAAGCCTAACTTGTGTCTGGAAAAAGATTTTATATGCTATCGGGGACATTTTGTGGCAAAGCCTGGTACAGCAGGTGAATTTCTTTGACTGTGAGGCCTGCTTACTCCCTAGATTTGTCCTTCGTACTATCAAAAAAAGATAAGAATTTGAAACAGTTGGGTGTTGAAAACAACTTCTAGGAATACTGGAGGTGGACATTTGCTGATTTTTATTAAACATAGCCTCCACTAAAGGACTATCTCTAATCACCATAGAAATGGAGGAATTTTACCCACAACTTAACTATAAACTCATACTTGAAAAAATCCTTGGAGCCATTGAACTAATGAATTCCAGAGTGAAAGACAAAGATGTCACCTTAAAATTACAAACTGAAGCCCAGATTCCAACTAATGAACTTACAATCCAAAAAAACAACAGAAGAGGAACAAATTAATATCAAAGAGGATTCTACACAACAAGTACAATTTACTGAGAACTTGGACAGTCAAACCTTGATTTCAATTAAAGAACCTGCAACTCAAAAGGCAACAGAAACTGAAGAAAGCAACATTGAGATGGAGGATGCTAAAGATCAACAAACACAACATATTGAAAACCTAGACAATCTAGACAATCAAACAACAACTACAACACTGGACATGACCTCTTATTTTAGCCAGATGAAACTGGAAGAAGAAGAAGACCAGCCTGAACTGACAACAAATATTTTAAATCAAACAAGGAGATTTGAACTATTAGGGCAACAAACTAATGATCACAAAGGGGCCAATTCCTTTGAAAAATAGATAACTGGATGCTCTCCCTTGATTCAAATAACATGTGTAGGAATGAAGGGAGAGTCATCTGAGAATTTAAAGACACTGTTATGGAAGCCTGTTTGGCACAAAAAAGAAAGCTAGAGTTAGATTTAAAAATGGGATTTTCTTTCTCTTCCTTTTTTGTTGTTGTTGATTGATAATGGAAGAGCTTAATGGGCTAAGGAGATTTTTAAAGATATTGATTGATTTGATATTTAGGACTTAGATTTTTAAGGGAAATGAAAACTAGTCATTAGATTATAGTTTTGAATTGTAATATGGAAGTTGGTTGGTGACAATAAAAGATATTTTATTAGTAAATGATGAGGTACTAGGATGAGAAATAGAATATACTTGTGACATAAAGTAAGAATATAATTAACTGAATAATATGTTTATTTTAGATACGATAACTATTTTGTAATGTAATTAGGAAAACTTGGGTTACTCGAAGTCTAAATATTATGGATATTAAAGGCTAAATTGGAACACGGTAATTGAAATTAGGTAAAATTTAAAAACAGGACTTGGAAATGTATAAGTAAAATTATATTGACAAATGTATTGATTGAGCTATAATTAGAAATGTATTAACTTGAATGTGATATAATAATTAAGAGAAATAGAGAGGGAACTTTTAATGACGCAACCTGAGATATGTACGAAAGATTTTGTTACTGGACTATTGATTACCCAATCACCACGCTGCTTCCTAAATATTTGGATGTAAAATTGAAAAATTAATAAAACTTGTTATAAAAAAAGAGCCTTTGACTCTCCCCCCTATGAAATAAGAATTCTTGAAACGCCCCTCCCCCATAAAAAACATCCTCCTCCACATCTGTCTTCATTGTTATTATCCTTTAGACCCTGCCTTCAAAGAGTTAGCTATTGCTCTCCTTGCAATATCTGCAAGACAAGGGCTAATTCCTCCACCCATGCCACAACTTGTCTATGTGTCACTTGAGAGTCTGGCTCTTCTGATCACATCCCAGTTACAGGATTTTCCCATGAGAAGACTTTGCACCCCAACCCACCTCCTGCTGTGGGAATCCCTGGCCATAGAGACCCAGCCAGACCCGAGGGTAACTTAAGAGGCCCCTGTGCTCGGTCAACTCACCTCTCCATCTGCTTCTGATGCTTCTCCTCTCGGGCCTGGGCCTTCATCTGCTGCACCTCGATTGTGTCTGGCTTACGCCTGCGCATGTAGAGCTCATGGTTTCCCATGCACAGAGCCAGAATACGCTTGTTAATCCTTAGACGGGGGGCATAGAAGACAAAATCCTTTGCAAAGGAGAAGGGACAGGGTTACTCTTGACTGCAGCTTTCCTTCGGCCCTCTTTTTCCCCAGAAGTAACAACACAATTTGATTACACTGTAATTTTTAGGAAATTAAGCATATCTCCAAACAAGAATTTCTTTTTGTAAGCATCTATATACTATTAAAATTCTTGTATCTGTTTCACCATAAGTCAACAATTTTTACAGCAAGGTATCTCAAATGGGTTAATTTACAGAATGCGTCCAAAATCTGAGACCCATGACTCCCATGGGATTTGAAATTTACCATGGTCAGCTGCAGTGACATGATCATCATTTCCAACACTCCCTCCCAGCTTTCCACAAGCAAAGTCACTAGAGAAGCCAGTTGCAAGGCAGGTAAGTGGCTGCTGCCAGATTGGGGAGGGAGCAAATGGGTATGTGAGAGGCAAGCAATGGTCAAAGATGCTACACAAGGATGCAGCACAGATTGTAGAGTGTGTATGTGGGGTGGTAGTAGTTAGCTCGACACAAGAGCAAAAGGACTGGGGGATGTGCATGGGTGGGGGAGACTTATCTGAGCAACTTGCAACTTCCCTGCTGGCTTCCCCATTGACTTTCTCCCTGACAGCTTCCAACAAGAAAAGTCAGTGGGGAAGCCGGCAGGAAATTGGAAATGGCTCCTGCTCCCACAGCTTTTTGCTCATCCATTGGGTCATTATGTTCATCTGTTTAGGTAAATAAATATCTCTGAAATGATGAACCAACTGAAACAATGACCCAATGGGGGATGGGCTGTCTAGTATACAGTAAAATCTTGATTTAAAGGACCTCTGTTTAGAATTGCAGATGGAACCTGGATCTGGATTTAAGTCCATGTGATTCTATGGGTTCCAGATAACCTTTGTGCATGTGTAAAATTGTGGTTTGTCTTTTTAATTACATCACTGGCATCATCATATATGTTATTTTGTATTATGTGTGTACATTCACGTAATTTCCACAATCTCACACATGTGCACATGATGTAAATGTACACAAATGACTCCTCAATTTATTAATCCTTCCAGAGGATCACCTTTCCCCAAATGCCTGCAAAAATGTTTTCCTGGGCTGCATCCCTTCTAATAACCCGCAAGACAGCCAGGCGAGCCCAAAGTGTGTGCAAGTCTTGGGGCATGGGACAGCTGATTTTAGATAGCTTGTGCCAATCCTGAAACAGGTATGTTTTGGTCAGCAACACACAAGGCCTGATAGAAGGGGGGGGGTGTTGTGAAGAGCAGGCGGGAGGGGGAAATGGCAGCAGTGGCCAAGGAACAACACACTAGCCTCATAGAATCACCCTGGAACCCCCCAGGGAAGTGCTTCACGCACAAGAACAACAGCAACTGGAAGTGCTCAGAAGAACTTTTGGAACAAAACAAATGTTGCATTCCATGCACACCCTTGTCCAGAAGCTTACTAAATCTGCTAGAAATATAAATCTGCAAGAAGGGGAGGAGTCTGCCTGTGCTCCTATTGGAAGGATGCTACACTTTTGAACTTCTGGGTGTCACATAGAAAACATAAAAGTAAAGCTAAAAAAATATGTCCAATACAGCAATTCATGATCAAACTCTGACCACATCAGTAACTGAACTGAACTTAGTCAGCAAAGGATGGTCTCAGGACAAGCAGAATGTTACTCTGCTGGGCCCGCTCTTCTACAGAGCAGCACAGGGGCAAGCTTTTCCTGATAGAAATTAAAATTAGTTAAATGATATTTATTGATTACCCAACTAACATGGGGGGAGGCGTATAAAACCAGGAAAAACGTCAAACAGCTAAATATATTGAATCACAGAGTCAGAATCAGACTAAAATAATCCAGTAGATCAGTGTTTCTCAACCTTGACAATTTTAAGGCATGTGGACTTCAATTTCCAGAATTCCACAGCCAGCATTGCTGGCTGTGGAATTCTGGGAGTTGAAGTCCACATGCCTTAAAATTGTCAAGGTTGAGAAACACTGCAGTAGATGGAAAAAACTAACAACATTGTTTTTGGGCCTTTGAGCAAATTATAAACATCAGCTCCAGGCCAGGACCCAAGGCCTTCCAGGACCCCAGGTGCCCTCTTTATCTTGAGGTGGGGAGGTCTGGTCCAGAGAGCGAGGCCCGCAGCAGAGGAAGCTTGCTTCCTCAGTCCCACAAACGGACAATGTTGAGTGGAGGAGACCTGGTGCACACACCCACTGCTGGGACATCCTGGGTAGGCACAAAGAATGAGGAAGAGGGATTTTCACCCATCCGGGACTCGGATTTGGAGGCTCTTTCAGCATGAGTCGCTGGTTGCATCTGCACTGTATTTGCATAACACCAGAGACTGCTGGGAAGAGCTGCTCACTGTGAGGAGGACTGAGAGAAAGTCCAGTGGATTAAAGTAGCAGCCCAGGCAATAACTGAAAATCTAAAACAGCAGTAATTCATCCTTGATAAGTGGGATTCTGGGATTAAAATTTTATTTTAGAATGTCTGGCTTTGTTCCTTGCAATACTTGTTTTGCAGATGTCTTTCATGGTACTCTTTTTAAATTTGGCTATGGTCCTATTTGTAAGCAAATTGCTAATCTGCGTGGACAGATTGCTGATCTGGAGTCTCTAGTCTGTGCTCTCCAGTTAGGTGTCCAGCTCAGCCGTTCTATTCTATTGAGCTGCCCCATTCAGCCCCCTCAACCACAAAGCTCCCACAGGAGAAGGGCAATGAGAACAGCTGTGAGATCTGGCAGGGTGAGAGCTGTAACGACTGGAAGTGCCCAGGCCATGCAGTCCGAAAGCTGGCCCTCCAAGCAGCAGAGAAGGGGCCAGGACAAAATTAGGTACCTTTCTAATTTTTACCTATTTAACTGAAATTAAATATATTTAACACAAGTGGTTTCTATCCTGAGACACATTAAAATGTATAATTTGGTAACAACTGCAAAGTTTTGGGAGTTGACATCTGGGCTGAAGCCATTTCTGCAATCCTAGGGGAACCCAGCCATTGAGTCAGCAGAAGAGAGGCTGGGCGCTCAGGGTGATCTGTGGGGCTCAGCCATTAATGATGACTAAACAAACCCTGGCTTAACATAATACGTAAAACATTATATGCCCAAAATCAAAATCAAAATATGTAAAAGCCGAGGTGGCGCAGCAGTTAAGAGTGCAGTACTGCAGGCCACTTTAGCTGACTGTGTTCAGCAGGTCAGCGGTTCAAATCTCACCGGCTCAAGGTTGACTCAGCCTTCCATCCTTCCGGGGTAGGTAAAATGAGGACCCAGATTGTTGGGGGCAATGTAAATATATATATACATTGCTTACTGGTGTACACCGCTTAGAGCAGTAGTTCTCAACCTGTGGGTCAGGACCCCATTTGGGGTCGAATGACCATTTCACGGGGGTCGCCAAACCACGTTGTCCGCCATTTTTTTCCCTTTTCCCTAGCTGTCCTACTCCCTCTTATTGGTGGCCACACCCACTTGGGGGTCACCACAACATGGGGAACTGTATTATGGGGTCACGGCATTAGAAAGGTTGAGAACCACTGGCTTAGAGAGTGCTTGCACTTAAAGCGGTATATAAGTCTCATTAAATAAATAAATAAATAAATATGCCCAAAATCAAAAATGAAAAGGAACCAAATCACCAGTGATAGGTTTTGACCAAGCCACGTTAGCAGTCTTGGACCTGGAACAACAATTCCAGCAACCATCCCTTCTCAAGAGGTCTTTTCACAAAGCCAACTCGACAGGAATGCATGCATGTATATATGTATTTGGAAACCACCCAGAGTCATTCACTACAAGACGGGCAGTAAATAAATTCAATAAATAAATAAATGTATTTTGTATTTCTTAACTGTCAATTTCCTTAGATTACCAAGATATAAACATCAAATATAGAAGATTTTATCATTAGCTTGATGCATGTTTGTTTAAGAAGGGATCTGTATGATAATTCTGCACACAGTTTGGCCTTGCCAAAGTGCAGTTGGAGCCACCAAAGGCTGGATCGCTCTTCTCCTTCGGTCAAGTCCTGCAACACTCATTCTAAATTCTATTTACATGACTTCCTGCGCGGCCAGATCCATATCTTGATGTATCATTATAGTCTCTTTTATTGCCCGCAAAAACCTGCCAACATTTAATTTTTATTATCTTTACTGTCAATTGGTTTTGTATTTTATTGTTTTATTCCTTTGGCCAGCCTGAATGATTTGCTGATGCAGCCCTGCTGTTCTTGGTGCTTATTTCCGGCTGGTGACCGCAATAAAGAAACTCAACTTCAGAGACAAGGTGCTGCAAGAATCTGAATTTTCCATTTCTTTTTTATTATATTAATCTCTGAATAAATCAATACACTAAAACACTTAAGTTGTAAAGGGTAACTTACTGGGGCTTTCTTGTCAATGGGCTTGATGACAAACTTCTTATCATTGAAGGAAATGTTTCTGATCTCGCTCCAGGGGAAACCAATTTTGGGTGTTAACCTGTGAAAGATGATTTGTAATTTCAAAAATTAAACCTCAGTGAACAGTTGCAGCACTCCAAATACACCCACTATACATTTTCCACCAATGAAAGTGTTTGGATTTAGCAAACGCTAAGTGGGAATTCCAAATTCACCAACCAATGTAACTCAACAGATCTATGAAATGAACAACCTATCAAAACTCTGGAGGGCCATCCTAGGCAGCCCAAGCCCTGAGTCATGTCAACCAGCCTCGTTTGTGGGACGGCCTCAGGTTGTGCACACAGGCAGTCTTCAACCTACAAGCATAATTAGGGCCTGAGCTTCTATTGCTATGCAAGGTGGTTGTTAAGTGAACTGCATCCGATTTTGCCACAGCTGTTAAGAGGACCACCGCAGTTATTAAATGAATTGTGAGGTTGTTAAGTGAATCCAGCTTCCCCACTGAACTTCCTTACTAGAAGCCAGTGGAGAAGGTCCCAAGTGGTGATCACGTGACCCCAGGATGCTGCTGCAACGGTCGTAAACCCATGCTGGTGGTCAAGGGCCACAAGTCTGGCCTTTTTCCCACGGGGAGGCTGCAAGGGCTGGAAGTGGGTGGACTTTCGTCAGTATCTTCAAATAGTTGGTAAACGAATGGTTGCAAATCAAGAATTACCTGCATTCCTCCTTCATGGCGTAGTGCTTTTATATCATTGATTCCAAAGGAGGATCAAGATCTTACTTTACCAAAAAACTATAGGCCTATATCTCTTTTAAACGTGGATTATAAGATATTTGTAAAAATTTTGGTAAATAGGCTTATGAGGGTGGTGCATCATCTTGTGCATAAAGATCAATCAGGGTTTATAACAGGAAGGTATATGAAAAACAATGTTAGACAAATTATTAACTTATTAGAATACTTAGATAAGAACAACCAAGTTCCTGCAGGGCTCATATTTTTAGATGCTGAAAAAGCATTTGACCAACTGAATTGGCATTTTATGCTAAGAGTAATGGAAGAAATGAATTTTGGTGAAAACATATTACAAGCCCTTAAGGTAATATATCAAAAACAAACAGCACAACTTATTGTTAATGGAGGTTTGTCGGAGGTTTTCACAATAGAGAAAGGTACTAGACAGGGGTGTCCTTTATCGCCATTGTTGTTTGTTTTAACATTGGAAATATTATTGATTAAAATTCGAGAGTCTCAGGAAATTAAAGGAATATATGTTAATAAAAAAGAATATAAGTTGAGAGCTTTTGCGGATGACTTGGTTGTTACTTTGTCGCAACCTGATTATTCTGTAGTAAACTTATTACAGTTGATTCACCATTATGGTTTGGTCTCGGGTTTTAAGATTAATGTAAATAAGACTAAAATTTTACCTAAAAATTTGTCGAGTCAGGAGAAGCAGATTTTGGTTAACTCGACGGGTTTTGAGATTGTTAATAAGGTAAAATATTTGGGGGTGATGCTGTCTGTTTCTAATGCAAAACTATTTAAAAATAATTATGAAAGGTTGTGGGTCGGGGTACAGAAAGACTTGAAGAATTGGGAAAAGCTGCAATTATCCCTCATGGGAAGAATTGCAGTGATAAAAATGAATATTCTACCCAAGTTTCTTTTTTTGTTTCAAATGTTACCAATTTTGAAAAATGAGATTAATTTAAATGAGTGGCAGAAGGGTCTCAATAAATTTATTTGGGCAGGGAAAAAACCAAGGGTTAAGTTCAAAATTATGCAAGACTTCCGTGAGAGGGGCGGACTCAAGGTACCAAATTTGAAATTATATTATGATGCGGTGGTTTTAACATTAATTAGTGACTGGGTAAATTTGACAAATTCTGAGATACTTTATCTAGAGGGATGGGATTTACTTTATGGGTGGCATGCCTATTTAATATTTAATAAAAAAATAGATTGGGCTTTTAAATCTCATATTTTAAGAATTTCTTTACTTAGGATTTGGAGAAAATATTATAAAAGTGATTTTAAAGTACCATTATGGGCTATACCTTGGCATGCGATAGAAGGAATAAAAAGAGGGGTTAAAATGGATATGGTGTCTTACAGACAGTTACTTAAATGGGATGGACAAAACTGGCAATTAAAATCACGGGAAGAATTAGCACAAGAAAATTTTACTTATTCTTGGTTCCAATATAGGCAACTACTAGATAGATGGAAGATGGATTGTAAGGTGGGTTTTCTTAGAGAAGATGAAAATCTTATTAAGCAACTGAAGGATCAAAGACAAACCCACATTAAGAGAATTTATGGGGTTTTAGTTGAATTGGACTCAGAAACGGAACTAATTAAAGATTGTATGATTAGATGGGCGCAGAACTTTGGTGAGCCAGTTTCATTGGACACCTGGGAAACTATTTGGGTGAGAAATGTCAAATTTACTCAAGCACAGAATCTAAGGGAGAATTTTTATAAAATGTTTTATAGATGGCACCTTGATCCACAAAAAATGTCTTACATGTACCCTGACGTGCAACCTAAATGTTGGAGATGTGGTTATAAGGAGGCTTCCTATTATCATATTTGGTGGTCATGTAGAGAGATAAAAGCATTTTGGATCAAAATATGGTGGAATATCCAGAGAATTTTTAGAAGGAGGGTAAAATTTACTCCGCAATTATTTTTGTTAGGTATTGTTACAGATTGTGATACAAAGGAGGTTGTATTGATGTTAAACTTGATCACAGCCGCGAGGCTGTTAGTTGGACAATATTGGAAGAAGGAATCTTTGCCTACATTGCAGGAATGGTTTTTTAAAGTAGCTTATCTGGCAGAAATGGCAAAGATTTCGGCTTTCTTAAAGCAACAAACGCAAGAGAAGTTTTTTGCTATCTGGGACAAATGGATAAAATTTATACAATTTAGATTGGGTATACAAAAATATTATATAGCTTTTTCATAAGTTTTATTTTTATATATATTATAGATATCTTTTTTATATATATAAATATAAAGTTTTTAATTTAATTTTTATTTTTTTTTTTTTTTTTATTATTTCTTAAGCCTATATTCTGCTCTGGGAAGCTCAGGGGGGGGGAAGGGAGGGTTTTTGGGAGGGGTGTGGGGTGGGGGTTTTTTTTATATGTATTGTTTAATTTTTTTTTCTTTTGTATATGTTGTTTTTTGTTCTGTATTGTTCTTGTTTTTTTTTGTAAAATTTATAAAACTTTTAATAAAAAAAAAAAAAAAAAAAAAAAAAAAAAAAAAAAAAAAGAATTACCTGCATTGTCTCTTATCCTCACTACAGATGCCTACAAATCCAGCAATGAACCCCAAAAGGGCAGAGATGATGAGTAAGGGGGAAACGCCCAATTTAAAATGCCACCTTATACACTCCCTCACCTGTTTTGGTGCAAATTGTGCAGCACCCCCCACCCCACAAAGGCCAGGGAAGGCATCCTCACATGGCATTTACTTAAACTGTGCTTTCTACATTAGGTTAGGTATCATCTAAAAGGACAAGAATCATCTGCATAAATCTGTGCTAGAAGAGTAACTTTTCCTAGTGATTAAAATCTATGTATATCAAAAGTGTTTTGTTATATGAAATTAAGATTGCCCAGAACAATTCTTGCAGCCTGAAGGCATATGAAAATACAAACCATACAGAGACAATTCAAGCAATTAGTTTAGCTTCATATAACATGAAGCAAAAAAAACCCAACACCCTTAATTAATCTGAGGAAATTTTTCACTTCTGTTTCAAGAACTATAAGTATGAGAGCAAAATGAATCACAAAATCCCTCTGAGCCTAAGAAGTAATTTAATTTCTAGGAAATAATTATGTTGGGATTAAGATAGCAAGTTACATCTGTTTTTATTGTTTTAATGTTTTTAAATTGTTTTAATTATTTTATAATTTTAGAATTATAAGATACCCAGAGCCACTTGGTTAGGTTGGGCGGCTATATAAATTGATTGAATGAATGAATGAATGAATGAATGAATGAATGAATGAATGAATGATTCCAGTAAAAGTCTGTTAGTAAATTCACAGAACTGTGTGAGAACTAGAAACAGCTAATAAGAAACCAATGCTAGCACAGAGTCACTCTCTCTAAGACAGGGCTAGATAGAGTCAATAGAACAACCTATTATCAGTAACAATGCCAAAACCTTGTAAGATAAAAATGAAAAGAGAATTGCTTGCAGACAATATTCTGAAGAATGTAGCAGTATCTAGTTGATCAAAGGAAAATGTAGCAGTATCTAGTTGATCAAAGGCTGTCAACATTTGTGGAGAGTTGGTCAGATCCAGATGTCTCCTGCTCTTACAAACCCTTCCATCTCTCAATCACTCTCTGTCAGACAGACAGACAGACACACATACCATACACTCTATCAGAAGATTAAGGAGAATAGTTTTGTTACCGGTCGGTCTGTTCATAAATGTTGAGTCCAAGAGCATCTACTCCCAACCAGAGTTCTGAGCCTTTCTTGTTCTTAATACTGAAGTAGTTCACACCATACATCTCCAGATCTTGTGCAATTTTCAGGTATTCTAAGATGGCATCTTCTCTGAAAGGACCAAGAAAACAAAACAGATGTTAACTTTAAAAGCTATGCTTTGGTAGAACATTCTCAAAAGCATCCTCTTTTTTGCAATGGTTGGCACTGCATCCAAGAGAGGGCACTGCCCATTTGATTGCAGCATTATGACTTTTAGTGCATAGAGTTGTCTGCTTTAGAGTAACTATCGAGTAGGTCAGCAGACACAGACACTTTTATCAATCTTCCCATCTGTCTTAAGAGTAGATGGGTGTCCGTAGGCTGTGGTAAAAGAAAGTCAAGATGAGGTTTGCAGCTATGTGGTCAAAGCTCCAACTATTTTTATGTCCATCATTAGACTTTATTATACCTTGCAGATGCCCCTGCAAATAGAATACCTTACAAGGGGACTTGTAAAAGTCATAAATAATACTCTCTTTTGAGCCGTCAAAGGATCTTCTGTTCTTCCCAGCTGTACCTGAGCATCCCCCGATGTTCCTCATGCCACACCTGGATTCTTTCTTCCCACTGATCCTTGTTAAGTTTATGCTGTTCCAAAACTCTATAGAGCAAAGAGATGGAAGACATATTATGATGTATGGACAGCTCTGCAAAAACAAATTCTTTAGCCACATGAAGTTCAAACATGGCCATTTCTTACAACAGCCTCCAAGGTTTCCACAGTGGAAGAGAAGTGACATGAAGGTGGGCTGCAAATGACACTGTAATGGTTTATGAACCCTTTCCATGGCTTGAATCTCTCTCTGGTTGCTTTTAAAAATCTCATCTCTCAGGTCTTTGCTCCCCAAGGGTTTCTACTTCTCACATTGTTTCCCACTTTTTCAGAATGTCTCTTTCCCGACTCTTAAAGCAACGCTAGTTTGAGATCTAAATGTCATTTTACTAAGGAAAAGAAATAAATGAAAAATACACACCAAAGGTATTTGGGTTGAATTCACACACTGTGCTCAGCACAACTTTATTTGTGTCTTAACACCGCATGGGAATTCACTCAATTGTGATTTATTTAGCAAACCATAGTTGAGCGCAATGTGTGGCCCAACCAACTCCAAACAGAGAGGGCGAGGCTTATCCATCCTGGAATAACGTCAAAAGTGTGCAACTGAAAAGTAGGATATACTAAAATACGTGGCTGTGCACTTGCAGGGAGCCAGCAACTTCGCCAGATTTCGCTCTACCTTTGAGGGAGCAGTTTGTCAGTCGTCAGATAGCCGGGCTTATGAACCTCCTTGCTGAAGTCCCCGTATTTGGACTGGACCGCATAAGAGGCCAGGAGAACTGCCGTCTCCGGGGGACAGTAGATGTCATCGTTCAAGATGGCCTCCTTCACTTGGAGGAAGAACAGGCGCTGCGTAATGTCTTGTATCAGCTCCTCTGCAACATCCTCCGGGTAGAATTTGGCCCGGAATTTGAAAAGCAACGGGCTCTCTTTGCGCACGTCCTGAGCAGTAACCTGCAGCACATTGTGGCAAAATCAGGATGAGAAAACACATCCAGAATCATCTCAACTGAGAAGTCTTGGAACAAGCACTAAGCCGGAACGTTTGTGGAGGTTCTCCGTCCTCCAGGTCACAGTTGCCCCCAAAGTGCTTTTTCGAAAAGCAACTGGACTTTCTTTGTTTTCCTTGAAGACGTTTCGCTTCTCACCCACGAAGCTTCTTCAGCTCTGACTGAATGGTGGATAATGGAAGGGTTTATATTCCTTGCAGTCATCTGGAATATAAGGAATAAAAATCCTTCCATTCTCCAACATTCAATCAGAACTGAAGAAGCATCTTGGGTGAGAAGCGAAAAGTCTTCAAGGAAAAACAAAGAAAATCCAGTTGCCTTTTGAAAAAGCACCTTTGGGACAACTAAGCCAGAAAGTCCTTTAACTCCACTATCCATGAGCCCCAGCCATGGGGCCCAGATTGGAGGGCCTGCCATTAATCCAAGGACAGTTTTTTAACCTATCCCACTGGATTGACTAACCTAATACATCTAGCCCAGCCTTGCCCAACATAGCAGCCTTCCAACTTGCAGAATTCAGGAACGGCCCCTTCTGAGAATGTTGGGAGCTGAATGTCCCACATCTAGGAGGAGCTCAGATGGACAAAGCAGGAGACTGTCAATGCCACTTGCAACCGAGCTGCCTGCCAGGCGGAAGGAAAGCTAGGACGGTGCTCCAGATTCCAATGCCTCAGAGAATACAGGAGCACCGTCTGGGACTCTCATTCAAAGATCAGAGCCCTGAAGAACAAAGACTGGAGGGCAAACCTCTTTCATCCCTGCCCAAGAAAGCAAACTCTCTTTTTTATGCAGAAGCAGGAAACAAAATGATAGAAACCTCCATACCTTTTTATTTAATTTCAACCATGTGGAGAAGCCCTTGGTGTCCTGGTACTGGAGTCCAAAGAACCAAACTTCTCGCAGGCCAATCGTTTTCACAACCTGTTCATGAAAACCAGACATAAACACGTGAGCGAGAGGAAGGGGCTTATGGTTCACCCCACCCCGTCAAACATTCATCATGGCACAGCTCCAAGAGGACCAAATGGCCTACCAGCAGCAATGGGGGACTCCCTTCCTTCCAGGTTTTTTGCACGGAACAAGCTCTGTCCTAAATGCCCTCTACACAAACTGGGATTCTCCTGGGGCAGCCTGGGGAACGGCCACACTGTATGAAGAGAGCTGTCCTCTTTCCCCAGACAGGCACTGGCCAGGGAGGCCTCTTGGGAGCAGCAGCTGCACTGACCAGCCATGCCCAGAGAAACTTCGAATGCAGAAGTCTCCCACACAGAGTTTGCCCTTTAACAGAATCGCTGCCCAGACCAGTTGCTGAGTGTCTCATGCTGCCAGCCAGAGATTCTCAACAGCTATGACTGCAAGAAGGGTCTTTTTCTAGGAATAAGAAATAATAATTTGGAAAAAATGGTAGGGAAAAATAGAACTATCTACAGGACATTCAACAGCTAAAGTTGAAAAAAAAATCACCAGCTACTGGTATTTCCTTAACTACGTGAATCTCTCCTTTCTACTCAAATGCTGAATTTTCCTTACAAGTCCTAGCATATTTTTCTTTTTTAGATGCCGGATCCATTTTGGGAATGGTTCTCCTTTTTGGCTAAAATTCTAAAACCCGGAAGCAGAGTGGACGCTTGTGGCTCATTCTACCGTGGCCAAGAGTGCCTGCTACATCAAAGGGGGAGAGCATTTCCCCACATGCATGCGCGCGCGCACACACACACACACACACACACACACACACACACCTCTGCTGGGCTCCAATAAGTTCACAGCAACTGGGAGGCCTGTGCTGCAAACCAGCCAATCCTCCAGCCAGCTTCCCTCCCCCAGGCAACTCCACAGGGCTTTGCCCAGTGTGGCTATGTCAGCACAGAAAGCCAAAAGCAGCCTTGCAGGGAAGGGGTAAACTATGCCTGGGTGAGGGTGGAGGTCAAAAAAGTGAAGATGGCAGAACTACTATAAAAAAGAGCATGCAGGAACATTGCTCTTTTCCAGTCCTCTGGCAGTTCCCCGATAATGGCTTGAGATGACATCTGCAAGCTCCTTTCAGTGATTTATATTCATCAAGACCAGACAGGTGTTTTCTTATTATTTTCTTATTTTAATGTCTTTTACATTTTGGTAGGTTGAGCTTCTTTTTGAGTGAAGACCATTGCAAGGAATGAGCGAAGCAGCTCTGCTTTCTCTCTAAGCCTGTTACTTCCTTGCCATCTTCACTTTTTAGTAGACCGTTTCCTTAACTTTTTTCTTGTTATTTATAAGTTGAAATAAACTTTTTTTATTATTATCTTTGACTTTTGTTGCAAGGTTTTGTTCATTCTGAGTCTTTGCTTTCCTAACTTCATCTTGCAGATTTGGGCTGTCTGCTGATATTCTGCCTTAATTATGTGATCTTCTTTCCACTTTTTGTACTTTTTGTCTTTCAGTTTATCAGAGAGATCTTTGTGCAACCATGTTGGTTTCTTCCTGGGTTTCTTGTTTTTCTTTTTCAATGGTATTGTGCTGGATTGGGCTTTTATAATCATATTTTTCAGAGTTTACCGCTTCTTGAGTTGTTTTCCCCTTTAGGATTTTCATCCAAGGAATCTTTCTCTCTGAGTTTGTTAAAATCAGCTCTTTTAAAATCTAAAACTCTGGTATGATTATGTTCTATTGCTTGTGTTTGCATTATATTGAATTCCAATATGTCATGGTCACCCTCACCCAAGGTTCCTGCAGTTTCAACTACCTCTATCACTTTTTCTCTGTTCGTGAGAATTGGGTCCAGTATGGCTGTCCCTCTAGTTCCCTCCTCTACCTTTGGACAACAAGTTGTCAGCTAGGCTGGTCAGGAATCTATTTGATTTCTCACTTGCTGCAGAATTAGACTTCCAACTGATATCAGGGTAATTAAAGTTTCTCATTACTATTGTAGTATGTTTCCTGCATATGTTTGTTAATTGGTTAGCAAAAAGTATATCTATTTTTTCTGCTTAGTTGGGTGGCCTGTAGTCGACTCCTATAGTAATGTCATTCTTTTCTTCTTTTATATTGACCCATATGCATTCTAGGAGGTTTTTGTCTTTGGTTTCATGAGTTTCTGTAGAAATACAGTGATCTTTTACATATAATGCAACTCTAACTCCTCTTTTATGGGGTCTGTTTTTTTTAACAGTGTATATCCTTCTATCGGTATGTTGAGCCAGGCATTTTCCGAAAACATTCTCCCCAGTTTTTGTGAGGTGCAGCCCATCCCTTGCCAAAAAGCCTATCATGGAGGTAGTGCAGACCATGGTCCAGGAATCCCAAGTTCTCTTGCTGACACCAAACTTTAGCCAGTGATTCACTTCTAGAGTCCTTTGTTCTCTTACTGGATGTTGACCTTTGGTTGAAAGTACAGATGAAAAAACTACTTGTGCACCTAACTCCTTAACTTTCTTGCCTAGCTGCTCATAATCACTTATATTGTTTTCAGGTTCATTTTTATCTCATTGATCCTTATGTGCAATAGTAGAAAAGGGTAGTAATCTGTGGGTTTTATTATTTTGGTTATGTTCTCAGCCACATCTTTGATTTTTGTTCCAGGGCGGCAACATACCTCTCTAGATTGACTGTCTGGTCTACAGGCGGCTAGTTCTGCTCCCTTGAGAACTGAAAGCACAGGCCTTGGATCCTGAAGGAAGATTTGTTCTTACATTCTGCTGTGCAAATTACCTGGGTGCTGTCTAATGTGCAGCCAAGTCCTCAACTTTACTAGATTACAGGTGGCTTCATTCCCACATTAAAGGCAACACAAAGTGCTGACCAAAATAAGAATGGCTTACACTTTTCCCACTGGTATCAAAGGAAAAAAAATTAAAAAGGAAAGACAATACAGAACTCTCTATAATCAAGAAATGCTAAAATGAGCACTGTAATGTAAGTCAACTCGTACTTTAAAATGTGGTCAAGGCACAATTTAAAAGCAATAAGATAACTGCCTTTAGAAATTAAACAGAATGTTTATTCTTCACTCTTTACACAGTTTTTACATTGTTGTTGTTTTCAGGACAGAAATGCAATTTATTTATTTATTTATTTTTTGCAAAGGACAATACAGCAACTTGGAACCATCTGGATGCTTCCTGAGCAATGGACAAATGCTTCCAGTCACCAACCAATCGCCATGCAGATTAGATGCAATGCTGAAAGGAGATGATCCAGAGGGTGCGGAAGGAGGTGGCTTCCCATCTATTCACACAAAGAAGGCATCTTGGCGAGGTGCTGAAAGGCCAACGGCTGCCAAAAGCAATCCAGAGGCCAGAGAAGGAGCCAGCCAGCAGAAGCAGGACATGGCTTTTCCCAAGAACTGGCACATCAAGAACAGCAGAATTGAACCTCCTCTCCAGAAACCGTCAAGGCTACTGCTGTATGGCAGAATGGGACAACTTGACGTCGTTAGCTCGGCACGGCCAGCTGGAGGCAGCCTTCTCACTACAACCAAGTCCCCTCTGCCAGTTAATTTCTGGTGTTGACATGTCCTGTGAGGGAATGTTTCCTCGCAGGACATGTCAACACCAGAAATTAACTGCGGGGATAACTCTCTGCAGCCCCTGGATGGAGAACCGGGGAAGCGAGTGAGTGAGCAAGCGCCCATCACTGTCCCCCTCTGACAGCCCACTCGCTCCCCCAGCTCTCCATCCGGTGCCCACAGCAAGTTATCCCTGCAGCGAATTTCCGGTATTGACATGTCCTGCGAAGAAATGGCAGCACTGTGTTGGCAGAGGGGACTTGGTGGTGGTGAGAAGGCTGTCCCCAGCTGGCCATGCCAAGCTAGCTGCATTGAGTTGTCATAAACTCACTGTAAGGCGCTCCACATGGAGCTACTGTTAAGGGAGGGGAAGCCCCAGCGCGGGCAAAGGGAGGGGCCCAAGTGTGCAAGACGGACAACTTGGGATGCCTACATGGCACCAATCCTGCTGAAGTTTTCTCTGGCAAATCAGACAATATATATGCACTGAATGGCCTGGGATTCGGCTATGAGATTTCAGTCTCTTTCCTTCCCTCCTCCTCCCCATTTGCAAGGAGGTCCCTTTGGGCAGCAGGAAGGGGACAGAGGTCAACAAAGATAAAAGCTGTGTGTGATTCCCAGTGAGTTTTGGATTAACAGTCATTCTTCTGGTTTGGCCACATTCTCGACCACCTTTTAATATCCTATTTGATTAGGGCTCTTGGGACAACAGACTATGCCTCCTGGCAAAATGGAAGTATCCAGGAATGTTTAGAATTCACAACTGGGAAAGGGGAAAAAAAGAAGAGATGGTACCAATGACATTTCTGAGAGCACATGAAACATACTGTCCCCTTTATTTGAATTGACTGGACTGGCAACTATAAAGCTTCATATATACATATGCATATCACCAAAATATAAAGCAGCAGAGGCGTGTTCATTCCACTGGCAACCCCTACTGAGTTAATACCTTTAAAGAAGAAATAGCCTTCTGCTCCAACCATCATGCATTAGCATATTAAAAGCAACTACAAGATCCAATTCAACATTTGAAATACATTGTCAATATCAAGTTGCAAAACAACTTGAGTGATAAAGAGGGATGTGGTGAGATTATTGTTGCAAGAAAATGGAAAGGAGACTGCATTTTGACTGCTAAAAAGATGCACCTCTATCTTTAAAAGACTCCTTTCAATGGTTAGCCTTGCACAACATTATTAAAACTTAGCTTAATATTATTAACTGCAGAGTTAAAAGCTGGGCCACAGCAAGACTTGGCATTGGAAGGGGATGAGAAGAGTCAGCCAAGCTGTTTTTCTTTCTCAACAGGGCAGGCTGGGCAAGCTGGAACTTTCAGTTGGGCAAAAAAAAATAAAGTATGGAACAATTACTTTGATTTCCCATTGTGGCCAGGCTGAATGGGTTATTTCCTTTGCAAATCAACTTCCTCCTC